CGGTTTTCGTATTGTTTATTCTTGTTATCTCGTTTTTCTAACTAAACTCAGAGTTTCATTATTTCTTGTTTTCGGGCGTGCTTACCTCAATGTTTTTTATTATTACTTCCTAGTGTGTCCCTCAGGATTCTCCCTGTTCAATTCCGTTTGCTATCAAGTAATTCCACAAGCAAGAGATGAAGGATCCGCAGAAGAAGCTGAAACGAGATGCGAAGCAAAGGGAAGCAGGCTTGCAAGAATTGCTGAAGAATCGTCATGGACTTTTGTGCATAACTTAATAAGTAACGTCGATACCTCCTCTTCTTACTGGATAGGTATTACTCGTTTATACTATTCATACACTTGGCTCTTTATGGACAACAATCAGGTAGTTCCTAGTTCTTTTAATGGTAACTGGGGAATAGGCCAACCACTTTATATCAGTACATTACTCTGCGTTAAGCTGGATGTTCTGTATAGCTACAAAGCTACTGTTGCTGATTGCTCGCTGTCTTTGGGATATGTCTGCGAGGTAGATGCGACATATGAATATGTAGGTGAGAGCATTTTAATTTTTTCTCCTCTTTATTTTGATCAATGTTATTTCTGGGCAAGTTATTCGTAGTATTGATAAAATATGTATCTGAAGATAAGATATAATAAAAGAATTAATATTGCTATTTTGTAAGAAAAAAATATAATAGCAAAAATATAGTGTGTTTATGTTGAAAACAACGTACGTACATAGTTTTGTCTCCCGTTTGTCATTTCAGTTGTCTGGTGTTATCATCTGTTGTAAAGAAATAAATTTTGTGGAATCAGAATTATAATAGGATTGAATGTTTTATCTCTCTAAAGTACACATTTCATCGTTTATTTTCAGTATAGAATCTTTTACTACAAGGCACAAAAACATTTATAAGAAATATCAAGGAACCGATAAAAAATATCTGATTATCAAAACAACATATATTGAAATACATTAAAATTAATTGTAGAAAACCTTGAAAAGGCTTTTAAGATTTCATTTTAAAGATACACAATTTCGCTTTATCATAAAGACACCATAAGAGTTAGCAAGAAAATCTATAAAATATTGTTCACAAATTCATACCCACTTACAAAATATTAGGTCGTCAAGAAATTAATGTCGCGTTTTGGAACACTTTCATTAACCACCCCCGAAAAAGCGTACATCATGCATAATAGTTAAACGAACCGCCTAAACATCACGTTAGTGTAGTCTATATAATGTGTAAAGTTTAGTATACTCTAATCCCATATAGTGATGGCACAAGAGGAGACACAAATTCGGCATGTAATGCTGTTTGAATACAAGAAGGGAACAACGCCTCTGTAGCCACAAAGAATATCAACGAAGTTTATGCAAATGTTTTGAACGTTGGTAAGTGTCAGCGATAGCTTAGGAAATTTCGCTCAGGTGACTTTAGCCTTAAACACTGTGATAATAGGGGCCGACATGTTGGAATTGATATTGATGCTTTGAAAACGCTTGTTAAGTCTAATCCAAGGCAACACGCACGTGAATTGGCCCTCAAAGTGCATGCCTCTCATGAAACAATACGTAAATATCTAAGGAATATGGGAAAACTCCATAAAGAAGGTGTTTTGATGCCTCACGAACTCTCTGATGATCATCGTTTCCAATGTTGCTTTATCTCTTCTGGCGCTTAATCCATATTTGGACAGAATTGTCACTGGTGATGAAAAATGGTTTCTCTATGCGAATATTAAACACCAAAAACAATGGCTCAGTCTAGACAAAAACCACTTCCGACCCCAAACCCTAGACTCCATCTGTAGAAAGTGATACTTTGCATTTGATGGAACATCAAAGGAGTAATTCATTTCGAACTCCTCAATCCACAGTGAACTGTCAATGCAGAGATGTATAGTCAGCTACTGGAACGATTAAATCAAGCCCTTCATCAGAAACGCTCTTCACTCGTCAATCGGAAAGGTGTTCTTCTTCTCTACGACAACACACATCCACATATAAGTTGTTAGAGTTTTTCATGTAAAAAAAAAAACAACAACATTAATTTCTTGACGACCTAATATTAATGTTTAGAATATTGACATTTCACTAAATAGTTTGATAAGGAGAAATAAAATAGAACTTTAAAAATCAATTATTGTTTGAGTGTTATATGAAATCAAATTTAAGTTTTTTAAAACTAAAATAAATTTAAGTGATTTGAAATGTTCTGTAAAAATATGTTAACTTCTTTCAACTTTAGAAATATTTGACAGTTTGCTAAATTACATTTTAAACTCATGTTGATTATTCCAGCTAAAAGCTTATTTAGCTTAACAAATTATCCAATGTACATGAAGTATCAATCGTTTACGAAATTAAAAGTCAAGTAAAGCACACGAAATACCTACTTTTGTATACTCAATGTTAGATTTTTTTGTATGAACCTGATTCTTTACAGAAGGTATCTGTGACCTGTTGGCGATAAATTTCAACAATAAACAAACAGCACACAGTCCACTTGTTTTAAGATAATATATTAAAACAAGTCAAACGTATATACAAATGTTCGTTAAACTGTTGGTTGTCACAGTTGTATCCAGAGCTTTAAATAATTGTCTCTTTTTTGTCAATGTCCATACATGCTGGTTCAATTAGTTTAGAACACAACTGGCAAAACGAATTATTCTACTCTACTCTGTTATTACAATACAATTTGTGATAACTTCACTTTAAAAATCGCTACTACATGCTCTTTATTGCTACACTAAGTTTAATACCCATGACTTATAAACTATCTAATTCATAAAACGTAAATGAAAACATTTGTATATATCTAACACTCAACCTAATGACCCATACACGTTTTTTCTTCTTTTTTCTGTTTTCAAAGACTGGCCAGTAATCAACTATGAAGATGAAGCAATAAACTACAGAGCCATCGGGAATAATTATAATTTTGAAATTGCTCGTGACTACTGTATGAGTCATAATTATCAGCTAGTGAGAATAAATGACATTAAAACTCATCAGATCCTGAAAGAACTCCTTTCCAACTCGAATATTACCTTCAACGGATTATGGGTGGGACTGACTGACGAAGAGAAAGAAAGAGTATTTACGTTTACAGATGGTAAGCCAGTCCCTTACCTACCTGAGCTGTGGTTGGATGGACAACCAGATAATGGAGCAAAGCATATAGATAACTGCGCACGAATGAAAAGTGGGGATTTTCTTCTGGCGGATTGGCACTGTTCAAAAACAGAGAGTGCAATTTGTGAAGCATCCCAGGAAGAAATATTTGGTAAGAGTAATTTTTTTAAGGAGAAATAAGGTTTACATTCTTAATTCTTTGCAAGAAAAATTTTAAATGGTTAGTTATGTACACACACATATATATGTGTGTATAAATTAAGTTACAGAGGCATTAAGATATTTCGTAAAATGCTCGCTCACCTACACTAAGTATATTTTCATAAATTTTAGTAACACTAGTAGTGTGTTTGAATAACTTTCCAATTGCATAACTCACAAATAAAATAAGAATACATTTTCAAGTTTTAAATTCGCCTTTATACTTGTAACAGTTACAAATAATTGCAAATGTGAGACACTTTATACATTGGTAAACCAACTGGAAGTAAGAGCGTGAGTTTAGTGAGAAGATAAAGGTATTTATTTGCTCTGATAGAGTGAAAACACGAGAGGCAAACAGTAGAATCAGAACACAACAGAATCTTTATTAGTAGCAAATCAATTGAAAAAAAAAAACGCAGTGAGCGTAAAAAACAGTATGAAGTAAAGGTAAAAAATAAAACTGTTGGAAGAGATAATGAAAACAACTCGAAACAAAAATGGCACAGGTATAATTCGAACTTGAAACTTGTATTAATACAGTGCTGTTATCATTTTTTCATTCTTAATGTTTAAAATATCAGATTTCCATTTTTAGTGAATTCTAATTGAAATAGAGTTGATGTAATTATAAATTAAGAACATGGATTGAAACTATCTCATGGTCAAATGTACTGATAAATGACAAAAACATTGTATGTTTGTTTAAACTGAAACCCACGCAATAGGCTATGTGAACTCTCCACCGCGGGAATCGAACCGTGGATTTTAGCGTTGAAAGTCCGTAAGTTACCACTGACCCGTTAGATGACAAAATAAAAACATGCAACGTAATTTCAAATGATACGATCTTAAAAACTTCATAAATTGTTAGTATTCTAAAATGTAAGTCTAATATTAATTTGTGGATGTAATTGATGATATTTTATTTCTTTTTGTTCGAGAAAGTCGATTCTCTAACCATGAGGAAGAAGTTTGAGTAAGGATATTTTATACCATTGATAATTATCTATAAAATATATCATATACAGATATTTATATTAGTGAGACATAACAGGTAAATATTTAGTTCCAACACTAATTTAAACAAAAATTTAACAAGTAATATGTGACTCAACGGCAGAAAATATGACTACGTCAGTAGGTGGTGGAGTATCCCATCAGATCCGGGAAACCAGAGGCCTAAGGGTGATGTACATGGCTGTGTAGGGCCTGATTCAGAGATCAATTGCTATGCTGTTTTCTTTGATCCGATTAATCATTAAGGTGTTTCTATTCTACCTAAGGGGGTCACCCATACACTATGATCATACTAGTTCGTTATTATTTTAGTTCTCCTATTTCACCTTATTCTTGTAATACTATTGCACTTCACTCAGTAAAATTCTTCATATTTTCCGCTCTTTGCCTAATGTTGAATCGTTCTCCCCTTTGCATCGTCGAGGCTCGCACCTCTCCGAATCGTCTTTGCTCTCCTCATTTGAGAACAGGCCGTTGGATATATAGCCATAAGTTTACCGTTCTTATTACGCAGGCTTAATTCCCTTTGGGCTTTTGACAGCACTTTCTCCGCCGAAGCTTTTCTTACCCTTCTTACGGTTAACTTTTTTTTCAAGTAACTGGTTTGCCATCTTTATCGCACCCATACTTGCTACACTTTTAACACTTCAGACATTTTGCTACTTTATATTTGCAGATTAGCTTTGAATTCGACCTCGTTTCTACGTGAACAAGAACAAACACTCGGAGATTCTGATTAGTTGTCTCGGCAGTTCCTCACAGGTTTCACAGAAAGTTAGGAAATCGTGAGTGTTCCATAGATAATGTACTACAACAATGTCATGACCATTGTCTAGATTAGGGCAAAAAATAATCATACTCTAATGACAAAAACAACCAAAACTTATTTGGATGTTATCCAATTATAGATCGGTATACCCTTCTGGATTTCTCATAAAATAATGCACATTCATGCAGATTTTCAGGGGAAAAAAAGACTAAATGCCGGATACGGGTTTCTACAAAGTGCCCTATCATTTCTTCTGGAGTTGAGTTAGAAATTTCTTGTTAAAGTTTAATAATGTGTTATATTCTGAATATGATCCATAATATAAAGTAGAGATCTGTTATTCTCCTGTTTATTTCATGTTAATTTCAGGATGTTAATACGTGCTTATTGTTTCAGTAACAACTGTTGTCACAACATGGCAGAAAATATTAAAACATAAAATTCTTTATTCGTTTATTGTAGAATGTAATTCTGAATATACGCTGTTCAAGTCTTCCTGCTACAAAATATTTGACAACAAAAAGGAATTCGATGAAGCTGAATCAGTTTGTGAAAGTGAAGGAGGAATGTTAGTTAGAGTTCCAGACAGAGAAGTGTGGGAATTTCTTAAACAACTTATATCAAGGGATGATAGATCCTACTGGATTGGAATGACTGATCAAGCACAAGAAGGAAAGTGGCTTTATGTTAACGGGACTGAGGTACCACAATCTTTTTTTGATGCGGATTTGTGGGGAGAAGATCAACCAAATAATCAGAACAATCGAGACTGCTGTTACATGGACGATGATGTAGCTTTCGAAATCATGATCCAAGACTGTGAAGAAGACCTACGGTTTATTTGTGAAACTGAAGTTAATGTAAGAATAGGTAGGTAACTGTTTGGAACAAAAATAATTAAAAGTTAAAAAAAAGCATACTGCGTCGTGGAAGATTAAGTTTGAAGTATGATGAGAGAATCTGTTAAAGTTAAAAAAAAAGCATACTGCGTCGCGGAAGATTAAGTTTGAAGTATGATGAGAGAATCTGTTAAAGTTAAAAAAAAAGCATACTGCGTCGCGGAAGATTAAGTTTGAAGTATGATGAGAGAATCTGTTACTGGAAAAATTATTTCGTCATGTTTTTTTTAGTACTTTCAAACTATATGAGACAGTTTTTCAGTAAAATTTCTTCGTATAATAGTGAAATACATTTATTCGTTTTTACTCAAATTGAAGTCAGAAAAAGGCAAAGCGATTTAAATGTTTCCATTATTTCACTATTGCTATTTGAAACTTTCTAGAAGTGTCAATATAAGAGTAAATAGATATATTTATACCTGCTTTTAAACTGTAAGCTGCTTTTGAAACAATCTGTTCAAAATGATAAAATACAATTTACATAGCCTTTATCTTTGTAATAGACCTAGCATGGCCTGGTGGTTCGGGCGCTCGACTCGCAAAATATGGGTCGAGGTTCCGAATTTCCATCACAGAACATGCTCGCCCTTTCAGCCGTGGGGGCTGATTTACAGGCTATATAAAAAGAAATTAACACCAAGCTTAAAATTAAGCAAACTGTTGTAGGTTTATGAAAAAGCTTGGTTTCGTTTGAATTTCTTGCAAAGCTACTCGACGGCTATCTGCGCTAGCCGTCCCTAATTTAACAGTAATAGATTAGTATGAATACCAACCCCCCACAAAATCTTAGGTAATTCTTTTACCAACAGATAGAGAATTGACCGTCACATTATAATGACGGAAAGCTGGTGGATGAAACATGCTATTATCTCAAGACTGATGAATCAAATTTTCAAAATAGCGAGAAGTTCTGTCAAACTGAATACAACGGACATTTAGCACGAGTTCCGGATACCGAAACTTTAGACAGGTTGAAGAAACTCATAAATGAAAAGAAACAAACAGACAAAGACTTCTGGATAGGTCTAACTGACGAGGAAACGGAAGGACAGTGGAAGTTCACAGATGGAATTCAAGCCGAATTTGTTCCAGAACTCTGGAGTCGCGTAGAACCGAACGACGGAGGATCAACAAACGAAGACTGTGTCATCATAGATGATCAGAATCAGATGAAACTTCGGGACACGGAATGTTCATCAACACATAGTTTTATTTGTCAAGAGTTACGTGTCTTCAGTGAAGAAGGTAATACAATGATCTGTTTATATCATATATAATATTATGTATTTGGGCGAATAGAAATAGACTGTAGTTTGATTTACCGATGGTCTAGGGCAGTTCTTCATATTATAACGATACATTTGTACAGTAGTAGTATACAGTTCTTTCTGCATCCAGTCTTCATCCTCCAAGACATACTGAGGAGGATAGTCATGCTCCAAAAGCGGTATCTCTAGAAGGCAGTACGAGCTCCTATTCTACACACAATTACAGAATATACACGTAAAACGTAAATTATTATCGTCTTAATATGTGTAAACATTTATTTATCTTAAAACGAAAACAAAAGAAGTGGTGAACATAGCAGATAGCCCCATGTGATTTTGCATTCTTTTTACAATGAATGTCGTCAACCTCTATTCGCTCAGCGACAAATCTGAAGACTAATCACGCCAAAAATCGAGTATCCTTACCTGTGGTGGGCACAGCACAACAGATACGAGTATCCTTACCTGTGGTGGAGCACAGCACAACAGATACGAGTATCCTTACCTGTGGTGGGCACGGCACAACAGATACGAGTATCCTTACCTGTGGTGGGCACAGCACAACAGATACGAGTATCCTTACCTGTGGTGGGCACAGCACAGCAGATACGAGTATCCTTACCTGTGGTGGGCACAGCACAACAGATACGAGTATCCTTACCTGTGGTGGGCACAGCACAGCAGATACGAGTATCCTTACCGGTGGTGGGCACAGCACAGCAGATACGAGTATCCTTACCTGTGGTGGGCACAGCACAACAGATACGAGTATCCTTACCTGTGGTGGGCACAGCACAACAGATACGAGTATCCTTACCAGTGGTGGGGACCACACAAAATATACAAG